AGGCAGTGTAAGTAGCACCATGACTGCAGCCAAAGTTCCGGCTCCACGACCTACCAAATTAAACCGCCAAATAAGTCTAGGCAAGTACGGTTTTGGCATCGCCGCGCCTAAGGGTGTCGCAGCTGAATTACACACCGAAAATGCTAGTGCAGCGAAACCAGTTTCTGCCTCGTCAAAAGAATTTGATCCAAAGAAGAAGAATACTTTCACCATGGCAAATCATTTACTTAGCGCCCCAGTGAGCCAAGATCGTCCACCGTCATCAAACAGCGAAAAGTCAAGGATGAAGTCCGACAGCAGTTCTATCGAAAGCAAGCGAAGAAGCGAGCCGGACGTTGAGAGGAGCCCTTCGATACGCCCCATGACCATCAAGAGCGCACTCCAGTCTTTAGATTCGACGAACCAGTTCAAATCTAAATCAGTCTTGAGCTCCTTCTACGACGGGATCAAGGGCACCGAAGATGAGCATATGAACGTGCAGCTGCTTAGAACTAATGACAATCAAAAGGTGTATAACTCAAAACTTCTCGCAGAAGCGGTTCCAGAACTACCAGCGACTCTATCCCCTACTACTGCTTTATCGCCATGGCTAAGTGTGCTGAATCCATCCAATCCAACAGAGAATGACGCAATGGGGAAAACAGTGTACAGAAGATGGCAACATGTCTTCCCTAAGCCAGTGCTCACTAGAACAATGAAATGGAAATCTCTCTGTTCTCCTGCCTCTGTGCCATTAACCACCGAATCGTTTCCTACAAAGTTTCAACTTGAAACCGAATATCAGCAGAAGCCATACAATATTTCACAAAATTCTGAGGATGAAATTAGCGAAGATTCAAGTAATAGGGAAGACTTTTTGAAGGAGTTGATTAGCTTACGACTTTCCCAAGGGTTTCAGATTGTTATCGGTCCTGGGGTAGCCGAGGCATTTGGACAAAAGTCTCTGAAGATCGCGAATGTTTTTGACCGTGATCGTATTGCTGAGGATGGAGCCAGTGTATTCATGTCCATGGGAAACATAATTCATCAGCTATCTTGCGTGAATGGTACCGAAATCGAAGTCAACATGTTCGTCCGAAAACCGACAGCTCTGACTACACCTAGCCAAGGAACGTTAAGCCCGTCTGGGTACTATCCGGCCATTCGAACTACTTTGAGCGACACCTATGAATCGCGCAAGATGACTTTGGGTCGATCAAAGGATGAATATAACTGGAATTACGTAGACTCCTTCATCGCGGGCTTTGAAGACGACATGAACGAGCACCTCCGGTTCTGGCGTGCAAGGTTTGTGCTGATTCCTGTGGTACGCCCAACTCAGTCTCGACGAGATCGCATGAGAGGTGAGGATAACGAAGAAGAAGTCCGACTAGAAGGTATCAGGAAGCTCACTCAAATGTGGCAAAGCCACAGATACGTTCCACCGTCAGAGCGGCGTTTCCATAGTCTTGCCTCCAGGAAAATAAAAGATTCAAATCCACTTGACATTGTGTATAAGACGGAGGATCCATCCGTTGTTGTTAGCGCAGAACTCGAGACTTTACCTCTTGTGGAGACAAGTGAAAGTACAACTAGACGTGGGCACTTACTTGACACTGATCGTTTTCGAAAATCCAAACTTGATATTGCCGCCTTAGCGGAAGCTATCCAAGCGCCCGTGGAGAGGGGCGGTGTCCGTATGCAGAATCGAAGATGGCATTTTCGATTGCATTATAATTGTTTTATCGGTTCTGATATGACGACATGGTTACTTGAAAACTTTGAGGACATTGAAGATCGTGATCAGGCAGTTGAATTGGGCAACTTTCTTATGGTTGACGAGACACAGAGGTTGAGAGAGAAGGAAGTTGGTAAAGATGCAGGCATATTTGTCCATGTCGAAAAACGTCATCCTTTTCGAGATGGGCAGTATTTCTATCAAGTTACTGGAGAATTTGCCAAACAGAGACCGGATAGTCGCAGTGGTTGGTTCGGCTCTCGACGCCGTGAAAATTCTGTGCCTTCGACTCCAATGTCAGATGCCATGCCCAGAGACTCTCCTCGACCAGATAGAGCAAGATCCAGCTCTACGCAAGATGATAGTTCACATGAGTCGGGTGTGCCAACTCCAACCACATGTGGGGGGAAAAGGCCCAAGGTTTCTCTGAGTAAAGTCATGAAGTATGATGTTGACCATCGAAAACGCTCCTATCGACCTGAGCTCATCAACCTTCACTATGATCGTCTTCATAATCCTGACAATTGTTACCATATTCGAATCGATTGGCTCAATGTCACCGCTAAGCTGATCGAGGATGCCATACATACGTGGGCAACAACCGCAGAACAACATGGCCTACGATTAGTCGAAGCACCGATTGGCGAGGCATGTTCCATAGCTTCGGTCCATCCATTCAGGAGTCCCTACTTGATCGAACTGTCTTTGCAGCCTCCAGATCAACAGCCCCGAACATACTTTGACGTCAATTCCTTTACTCCGCAAGCACAAACTACCCAATCCAATCGTCATTATTACCAAAAAGCAATCATGAAGAAGTTCAATTTTGTCCTTGATATTGAAGCTGCGAAGAATTTTCCAAGCAATATCGATGTTTCGTTCTCATGGGGTCGACCAGATTATACCTATACACAGTACATTCATAGATCTGGAGTATTACTTGCACAGATTACAGATGAAGGCAATTTCCTCCTATTGGCGAACCGACTGTACAACAACAGGACTACATCGGCCAGAGATACAGAAAAATACATGAAAGTGGATCATGCTGGCGTTAATCGCATGGGACCCAGTCTAATTGCAAACAATCCAGGAATCGCTGCAAATACATCCAGTCCCTTTCAATCACCAATCCTGCGTGCGGCTCATGCCCCTTCTCCTCTTCTTCGTGCGACCCACCCCCTCTCCCCTTCATTACGAGCGACAGCTGATGTACTAGGCGCTTCCCTTCCCAATTCAAAATTAGCTATCACTGGCGGAATCAGTCCTGACACCATCAAAGCCGAACTCGAAGAATTCTGTCACAATAGCTGGAAACTAGAACTCTTCTACAAAGAAGTTTTTGAAAAGGTCATACCACCACATGCGACCCCACCAACACTCAGAAGCTCATTTCCGGCTATGCTTCTCGATTCGAATATTCCGACATTGGGATTACCGCCGGGGATCTTGACAAGGGATGGAAGGGATAGTAGTCCGACACCAATGAGGCTAGAGCGGGTGCCGGGAGTTGGGAGTAGTATACCTGTATTTGGGAGGAGACCGAGTGTACAGATGAGTATTGCGACTAGCGCAAGTGATTTGTCGAGGCAGGAAAGTCCAAGAGGGAGTATAGCTGAAGGTTAACGTTCTCGAAAATTAATAGCTAAAAAGCACAAAACTCGACTAGACATCATGGGAGCTGGTTTTTTAAACATGACTCGATTGGGGCATATGCATGCTATTGATTTTGTAGGATACCGAAAAGAGTCAGGTGGCGATTGGTGTTCTGTTTTATTTGTTTGGGGATCTTGGGATGTGTATGCAAATATTATGAATTGGAACGCCAAGTTTGAGATTAACGCCTGTGCATTTGGCAAAATTGAACGATCACGATTCGAGACTTTTAACAAGTACCATCGTTTCTTCTCTGCTACACTACCTTGAGTCTGATAAAGACTGTGATATCGAAACATTTAGGGTCATCCGATAGCTATCATGCAAAGATGACCGCCGAGTATGGACGTTCTTAAAGATATTGGTCTTTCCTTGCTTGTGGATTTCGATCTGGTGAGTACCTCAGTGGCAAGCCTTCACGTAAGCTCTGTAGATCCGAAGCTCTCAAAAGCTTCCTTCCACAAGCTTTTTCCTGCATAGCTTGGCAACTCAGCTATAATCGTTTTTAGACGTCAAGGAAATTTTAGTTCCTGCTATCGTTCCCGGAATATTTCCTGGTTCGCTTCACGACTAGGAGCAGTCGAGATTTTCATTGACCCCCCTTAAACTTCTTGCAAATCAATCAATCATGCTTCTGTTGCTTTAAGTCTGAAGGGATCCATTCTCAACATATAGCGGTACGCACGATAGGATCGTGAACATCAGAATCATGTCAAGACTGTTCACATGTCAAGCGGTCGTCTATTATATTCACAAGGATGAAAATAAGGGCACAAAATTCAACGTTAATCAAGACTCGATACCGCTATCCATCCTCTATCCATACGCCACATGTATTTGTCTCGAGTCATTGATCGAGATGATCAATCAAAACTTTCGCCCCTTTCAATATGACGTTCCTCATTTTTTCCACGCCGTCCATTGTTTGCAATAACTCATCGGTGCACCATGCAAGAATTATCTACGACTAACTAGTGCCATCGACTTTATACCGTCATCTTATTCGGTCGATCGCTGGTGAAGTGTTTCCATAGGTCCATTCTATTTTTGCTTCATGCTCATGGAAACTGGGTATAAGTATTGCCGTTTGAAGACCAGTTCATATTCAAGATCTTGTCAATATCTCAGAGCATTCAAGTCAACCAAATTTCCCCACATCATATCAATGATCCCGTCTATTCTGACCTCTGGATTCATTACGAGATATTAAAGAGAGTGTTTTTCTATCCTTATCACAATGTGTAATATCTCACATCATTTTTATACACTCTCAATGTTTACAATCTCTTCAAATCCACCTTAATCTCTGTTTACATCTCTCAACTCTGTAATGCATACAATATTGCAACACGCCGCCATACATACATCAGATTCGCCAGGAACTGCGCACCCTCCTCATTTAGATTTCGTTTTGATTCAGCCAACTATATGTATTTATCATTGAGATATGGCTACTATATACTTAGAAGACTAATTTGAAGCACACTGCTGGTATAAAAAAGGGTCAAAATCCACCTCCATGCTCTGGTGCAGTCCACCCGCCCGACTTGCAATGTGCATACCTACAACATCAACGTTAAATTAAATTAGATCAAACCAAAGAATGACACCGTCAGTTGTATTCTCTTTACACTTTCAAAGTAGAATTTTCCCCCGCTATTGTACCAGACCCCTTATTTACCACTCCGCCAGCTCCTACAGTGGGCCCAACGCCCGGAAGTGTGAAGTCTGGGTAATTCGGCCATTCGCCCAACCTAGCTGGGTCACCTCCAATTCTCACCCATTGTCCTACACTTGGCGTTCCATTATCCAATACGAAGAGCATAGCCCAGCTAGGCGGATACACATGTGCGTTAGGGGGTGTTGTAATGGAACACTGCATATTTGCTGCAGTGCCAGAACAGGAGAAGGCTGGAAAGAATGTTCGCTGCCCAAAGGAGTTTCCATGAGTAGCTCCTACGGCTGCCATCAGAGAGATGCGAACGGTAGATGGGCTACCCTTGTAGAGAGTAGCGGCTATATTGATTTTATCACCATAACCGAAATCGTTGCCGTTCGAGAACGTGAAACTTGGTTGAGTAACACCATTCATCAAGTAGGGAGGTAAAAATACCTCGACGCGGTATTCTTGGACAAATCGGGTGTCTTCCGGATCACTGCCTGTAACTAAAACCCGGCCATCTGGAACGAGCACGGCTTCGTTGTGGTAAAGGCGGTCGATAGTTGTGTTTGCCAAAGAAGACATTCGGGAATTCAGAGGCTTCGACGGATCATAAAGGACAGCATTATGGTTGGGTTCGGTAGCAAGACCAAAGCCAGCAAAACCTTGCTGAGCACCATTAAGAATGAGAAACGTGCCATCGGGACTAATTGTTTTCAATTAAAAAATGAGTGGTATAAGATTTTTGAGGGCAAAACTTACAGGGCTACCATAGATGATACTACTCGTTTTGAAGGCTATTCATCATTGTCAACAAAGTTTCTTGAGTAAGATAATAGAGTTTCAAGCTTACCATGCGCTCAATAGTCCAATTTGCGTCAGGTACCTCAGGTTCGAGGGATACACAGTTGTCCAACGCGATTTCTGGACCTGGGGTAGAGCCTCCGCAAATCATCACTACCAGTGGATCTGTATAAGGCGCACTTTGAGGCATCAAAACAGCAGTGCCTTCCATGGGATATGTTCTTCCACCCAAGAAGTTATTCACTGCAGCTGGAATATTTGGTAAGACTCTTTGAGTTTGCAGAGTGACCTCGTCTAGAATCCTCGCCTCGTTGTAATATGCAATGAATATAGCTCCAGATGGAAGTACTGCAAGATATGGATACAAATTGTACGGATCTGTACGGAAGAGATAGTCACAATAGAGTACATCTGCTCCAGGAGGGCGAGGGATAATTTCCAAGGAAGGAACAGGTGCGCCATTAGAGCCCACTTCGCCACCTACCACGAGGATGCTTCCATTGGCCATAATCATTGCTGAAGGATACCATCTACCTGTCTGCAGGCCAATCTCTTGATAATTCTCTTCCCAATCATTCTTGCTTGGTACTCCGGGTGCCCCGTCCGGAGTGTAAAAGCGTACACCTAGGGTCGAGGGAAGTGCCCAGCCCCCGATGTTGATCTGACGCCCAAGACGATCGGGGAGAATAATACTAGCAGAACAAAAGACATCTGTCTTCACATGCATGGGTCGCCATGCTGCCGTATAGTTATTTATTTGGGTAAGGTCTAGCTCATAAGCACCAGTGCTGTTGTTCGCGGGTGACGTTCCGAATTTTTCCAGAAAAGAAATCTTTCCGTTGATACCAACAGCGGATGTTAGTGGAATGATGGGCCCTGTAAATCCATGAGTCAATCATCCAGATGCTGTTAGTGTTATAGCCTACCTCCAATGAGGAACTCATATTTTCCAGCAGAATTTCCGTTCTCAAAGGTCCAGCTGTTGAGTGGTGTGCCTGTCCAAGTGTAATAGGTAATCAAGGACGGCCCGCCACAATATGTATCACGATTACCAGTACAAAGCATGACACACTGCGAATCATCAACGGTTGTAGCCTTGTGGTTGATAACATCCTGTACGTCACCGCAGACTGTGAATGAAGTCAATAAACAGTATAATCTGGAATGTTACATCAAAAAAGAACAAAATTAGATGCCAATAGCAAATAAGATTCCAAGAATCACGCAGAATTCAGGTAGCTCTTAGGCGCATCAAGTCATAAACTGAATTAGCAGCATAAACGGAAACTCACAGCATTGATTCGAATATTCCATACCCCCAGCACCATATCCAAATTCAGAACATAAGCTAAGACAGTTTGTGGCTGTGTTGTTATTTGCAAGTGCGATTTGGTAAGGGAACACTCTATTCACAGCATCGTCTCTGCATCTTGATCAGCTCTAATCTCTCGTGTTACAATACCAGCACGTCACATGCGACGAAACAACTTGAAATTGAGAGTTGCACCTACGTGAGACACCCCTTATATTTCCAATTGCCCGGTAAACTCGTATTCTGTATTACGGGTAGTTGTCGCACGACCAAACTTGTTTGATTAGAATAAATGCTCATACGATCGCCTAGTGAAATTAGGAGTTAGCATTATTTACATTTTCCTTTGAAAAAGAACAAAGATTGTATTGTACAATGAGGATACAGATGTATCAGGCAAGGCGAAAAGCGATGCTACAGATGGAAATGAAATTGAGGGTGCAAGAACGCAAATACGAACCTCCACCACACATTTGATTTGCATTTCCCCCGCACGGAGTGTTGCACTGAGAATCTGAAGATGCCAAGGCTCCCAGATTAATAATTGCAGAATCGCAATAGCATTGTGTATAGTATTCCATTCCAGCTATACTATACCCTGCAGTGATACAATTTCGTATGCAGGATTCCACAGTCATATTAGTATCGTTAGGCAGATTGTCGGCGAGGATACTACCACGACCAAGGGCTCGGTCAACCCAGCATCCCTTGTAGGTCCATCCTGTTGGAAGATCTGTGATCGTGGCCGAAGGGACAGTGGCACTAAGTGTCGTGGGTGTTGGTGTAGGCGGTAAACTCGTTGCGGTGTAATTGTACACGTTCATCCGCCCGGACCTAGAAGACAATTAGTGATTGCTTCTCGCGGAATCTCTCGGAGAAAAGAATCAGTGTGCAACAACGACATTAGAAACAATGCTCACCCTCCGCAAAATTGTGTCAAGTTCCCTCCGCATGCCATATTACAACCCGTTGCTGGAGCGCCATAGTTTTCAATCTCGTGGTCGCAATAACACTCACTGCCATACTCGACGCCCGAAAGTCTGTAACCTCCGAGAATGCAGGCGGAAAGACATGCATCGACGCTCATGGATGTCCCGACAATGGAATATATCTGCGTGGTGAGGGTACGTGCATTCACGCTATCATTGTAGCACCCAAGAGGTACCCACCCAGACGGTGCTCCTGTAAAAGTAGGAAGGGGAATGGAGCTTGTCGTGAGAGTAGGAAGCGAGACTATAGCATTGTTCAAATCGTAGAGACTCAATCTCGCGGAACCACCACATATTTCTGAAGCATTACCATTGCAAGGCATATTACAACCGACCTCGCCATCAGAAGCTAGGCCTCCGCCATTGAATATGTTATTCGCGCAATCTTGTGGTTGTCAAATTAAAGCTACAAACTTGATTAAGGCTTCCCACTTACAACATTCTCCTGAGTATTCAGCTCCAGCAAGTACGTAACCAAGGTTTTGACATGTTGATTGGCAGATTTGAATTGTCAAAGCTGCCTCTCCTCCTGGAGTTGCTACATTAGTAGTGAGCGTGCGAGCCCCCACGTTGTCGCTAACGATGCTGAATCAGTAAATACTTGTTTGAGGGGCTTCAAGCGCGAGTATACGGAAAATGAAGATAGTAAAAGCAATGCTCAGTCAGGGTACTTGGCTACCAGCTTTCTGAATTGCAATATGCCAGTCATCTAAGGTACTTTGATGGGAGGGTATAAAATGCAAGCCATCGATTGCTCTATCTTTAATGGGCCCCTTGTACCCTCAATTGGAACCTCTCTCTTCAAAGGATGGAAGTTTCAATGAAAAAGAAGGGTGTGCTTGGCAATGTAACAATGTAAATGTATACCTGTAGCAGCCCACATATGACCATGTATCTGCCCTCGGTAGGACAGGATGACTCCCTGAACGCGCTTCGGAACAAGTAAACTATCGAACAAAAGCTAATTAGCAGATGGAATACAGAGTGGCAATCACAAAAAGCTATCATTAACATACCGTCAAGGATAGACTTAGCGCTGCAAAGGCAAGCCGAAGAAAAGAAAGAGCCATGATTGCAATTGCTAGCAATCACCGTTCAAATGCACTCTGGGAAAAGACTGTCGCTCAATGATATACACGGGGAACAGAGAAAGAAAGTAAAAAGATCTGCACTCGGAGAGAGTACTCCATCGACCTGCTTAAGCTTTACAGCCTTTGATTACAGTGACAAGAATTGACAAGAATTGCCATGATCTTCCACATGGTGGACCACTGATCCTCGGATCCTTGGAGGCTGACAGGAACCAGCCTGAATGTTGCTTTCGCTCTTTACGAACAGAATCGTATAGTTCTCACCTATTAGCCCGTATCATTTGCTTTCACCTAGTGCAAGGCACACCCCGTGAATCCTCTTTGGTTATCTCCACATTTTCCAAAGTGGTATATGGTACCAAAAGGTTGTTTCCAAACGATACAATCATGCATGTACCGCAAAACAGGCGTTATAAATCCTTGGGTGTTTCTTTCTTTTTCGCGAATCCTTGTCTGCGGTTCGAGGGTTCCTGATGACCTGGAATTTGAATCTCGTTCGGACATTTTCCACGGCTCGGTTTGGATACCGAAAGAGGCACGACATCCGCCAACGACTTGGCTAACAAATAATCAATCGAGAGCATGACTGACTGTGCAGATACGTAAAGTATTGACAGGCTGAAGAACCTGTGTAGCAAGTCTCACGGTAACACCTACGAAGTTACGAGGTGTGACAATCATGATAGGGCTCGCCGCCACCGAAAGTGAAGTCATAGAATGGGATGGAGCATCTCATTGGTAGGCGCAAAGCTTATTCATGGTCGTGTAACGATTGCATAGGTACACTATTGTATATTGATGTACTGCATCAACCTGCAGCCTGAGTAAGTGGAGATAGTCGTAGCCAAACTATTGAGTGAGATGATGTGCTGGCGAAACAATGGTCTAAAATCGAGGGATATCTGCACGGGGAACCATGTAGGTCAATTAGAGTTTGACCAGCACGAAAACATTTGGTGCTAGCCCACACGATCTCGGAGCGAAGAACGTTGTCGGTTACCCGATATTGTAGTTTAGGAGCCAGAAAAACGTTCAATTAAGCTTAATGTGGCGGAGGTGGCTAGGAAGCTAGGAGCATTATTAGACCCCTTGTGAAGAATCTCTGGCAAAGTTGATGACCCACTATATTAAATACACTACCCCAATCATGCATAACCGAAAAAGGAAACTCAATTTGATAGGCCTTCACGAATAGGAGAATTGCGATATCAAATCTAGACTCGAGCAATACACTTGAAGCCCAACCCTATTGACGGTAAACGAATCAGAGTACGCATGTAACGTAGTCTTTGGATGGGGCAGTGAACTAAAAAGCTATCGGAGAAGATGACATGTTTACCTGTTTGCGATACCGAGTCGATGATACTCAACAATGTGCATCTACTATGTGGTAGGAAAATCTGACCACTTCTGAGTCATTGACAAGAGATAAAGAAACGACGATACAGAATCTTCTTCCGATGTGTAAAATTAGAAAACCCAAGATGTTTATTGATCGGCCCGGGATTCATGATACATTCAAGGGTAGGGTTGCATTTACCCGGACACCACATGTAAACCAGACACGACCGAATTAATCCTTGAAAATTCGAGAACACCATCTTTTTGTATGCATAGTCTTCGTGTATGCACTTCTTATCAGTGACCTTCCAACAGTTATGAAAGTGTAGATGAGAGTATAAAATTGTATATTTTATTATCCGTCGAGTGGCTTCAGTTACCGATTACTCCTCTAATCTTCCCATGTGTATCGTTCCGAAATTTGTCCCATGCAATATTAAAACCAAATTAAGCACCTATCTTATCTATCTCACTTCTCTTATCTTGCTTACTTGAAATACACTATCTCTTTCGATTTCGTTCTCAGCTCGGGCTTCCGCAAGTTCCCTGCGAATACATTTTGACACTCTTAACAGTCATTCCTCTGTCTTCGGGCGGCCCCCACGTTGGGCCCCACTGACTTGAAGCATTCCAGAACTCGGCTGGGGCCGTCAGACTAGCATCTCCCCACGGTTTGTTGCCAACCTTATCACTATCACTAACGTTAGCTTTCATTTATCTCTAAATGGCGCGCGCAATTCGAAAACTCACGGGAAGTATCCATTGGTCCCTCCTACTGCCACGCTGATCTAATATTAGCAAAGTCGCCATAATTTCATCTCATGCTGAAGGTAACCTTACTTCAGAATAAGATAGAAGGCCTGATCGAATGGAGTGGCTGGATTCCCCGTTTGACTCCATGGATCATGTAGCGCCGAGTTATTCACAATCGTCTTACCGAACTCTCCTCTATTCCACATGCTGTTATATCCCTTACTAAAAGAGAGGTAGAACACTTGCTACACCAAAATTAGTTCTTGACAGGCCACAAGGCGAGATTTACCAGTTTCAGAGAGTCCATACCAAGAGACGGCTGTTGATATAGGTGAAAATATAGTCTTCACTCCATTCAAGGCCATATGTATAATAGCTTTCACTATAGTCGGTTCGTCGGATATTGTGCTTTCCATCTGTCTTCCAGAAGGCGTCTACTTGAGGAATTGGGCCCCAATGCTTTGCTAGTGGTCAGCTTAAGTATGAGTTCAAGCTAGAGGGATCATACCAAAGCAGAGATAATGCTGTCTCGACCTCCATCGTATGTAGCCCCATCATTACCTTTGCTTTCAGCGAGATCTATCTCACCACTAGCAGGCCAAGGTCCGTAAACAGAATCTTCTGGCATCATCCTATTCAAAGTTAGCAGCTTCCATTACAAAGGATTGTGGAAATCTACCATATCGCTGGCCATAACCAATCACCCTTTGGCATTTTTGCAATGACTTCAATTTTGCCATATTTGATAGTTTTCTTCCCCTTGGTAGACAACCTTGCGCTTCGGACTGGATTTATAATGGTACCGGCGGTAATATTGCTGTACATAGAACAAGACGAGCCTGCATCATCAGACGTACAAACGCCATCTGGCCTGTTGTCGGTAGTCAAGTTTAATGTATATCCGTTTAAAATCTGAGCAGGTGTGATATTCGTTGAATTGACTGTCAATGTTGGGACTATATGAAGCCCTTCAGCATCAGTGTAAGCGTTTTGAGGATCGTTTGTGGTCCATTCAAAGGATCCAGTACTAGTTCTTTCAGCTGACAGATCTTTCAGAGGAATTCAGTGATTTGAACTAACCCGAAGCCGCCTCGTTGAATCTCATAACTCCATATACTGGGGTCTATATTTTGAAAATCATCTTCAAACATAAGACAGTATGAGTTGTTTGGAACTGATGTAAATCCAACGTAGCACATGATGCCTCCGAGCCCAAAACCAATGACAATACTCGTCCAGAAAATGATTGAATCCCAAGTTCGTCCAGACCATTTCTTGCGTTTTCCCTCTGTGGCAACCTTTTCTAGCCATGGCTTTTCATAGCTTTCTTAAAGTCAGTATCTGTTACTTTTGGATAAAGGTCCAAACTTACTCGCCAATAAGCCTAGCACTTTTAAAACGGCGCTGTCTTGGAGGTACAATATCCAAACCATCTTTAACGATCAGCAATTTATCCAACATCAAGAACGCGATTTCCATACCTGAAATTAAAGAAGCTTCCCCTGGTAATGAGAATCGGTTACTTGGTGTACTTGTATGGGAGGATTCGTGATTTGGTGTTCCTAGTTGAGATAGAAGTTGAGGTGTTCCGGGGGCAGAAACTCGGTGGGTTTGAGGATCTTGTGCAGTCAGGGATGTACTGTATGTTGACATCTTGAGGACTCTCTACTCTCTGCAACTTTGAAAGATTGGGACAAGTCGCTGGATAACTTATCAAAATATCACAATCTCAATTTGAACGATTGACTCCTTCTATTCACCCACGCACTTGCCCGAGATTCCCCACGAAAAACATGTGGTATGGTCGAAAATATTTCCAAGATAAGAGAAATCTCCGATAATTAAGCTAAAATCAATCGACCCATTTCAATAATGGTATTGTCGAATACCGCATGGGTGGCAGAGTACCTTGTGTCTGCATCAATCCCTGAGAGTATGGACGTTTTCTGCCAGCCTCATAAGAATAAATGAGAGGAGTAAGCGAAATGATGCCCTAGTAGATCTGCATGCGCTGGTAATATCGCCGATAGTGGGAATATACGCGATATCGAGAACATGAAAATTGATCATGATAACAGAGTTACAGACAGGAATGTTCAGCTATGTTCAATCAAGTAGTATAGCATCTGTCGGTATCCAGTGGCTGTGAACCATTTCCAACTAGTGCTTGGAGGACTCAGAGGCTTCTAAAACGAAAGCTAAAGGCGGATGTAACCTCAAAATTTCAAAGGCGTCAATCCACGATAATGATTGAATTGCCCGAGCCACTAGGCCTGAAACTAGATGATGCGATGTCTTATATGGGATGATGGCACTGTAACACTTTACAAGAATGCATGTGAATATCGATATTGAATACGAGAGTTCAGGAACCTGCAGATAAGTCTGATCTTTGTGGTAATAGGTACTTGATTGGACGGAAGACGAATGGTTGAAATCAGAGAAGAATGAAGATGGGGTCGAGAGAAAAGTCAAAACAAGGAGCTCAAATAAAAATTCGAAACAACAGTTCAGATGATCCAGAAGGAAAGGTGCATGTTGTGGTATTTCGTTTGTATTACCGAGAAAATGAGGTGGTTGAGATGTCGGGATATCAAAGTGATCGACATTAAAAATTCCTAACGAGAGTTCAGGGTGGAAAAACGTTGAATTGTTTAATTCCTCATATTAGTCGTACAAAGTGCGAATTTGTCGGCCAACGAATAGCAAGAACTACAGTATTATCTGTACCACTGAGTAATATGCAGCAATTTGAAGAGGGAAGGGTAGCGGGCAGGGTAGTTTAGCGATTGATTTAGGGTAAATAAGCCTACAGTGGGTCTGTGACCCCTGAAAGCTTATAGTAAGATATCACTCCGAGGTCTGCACCTAAAATCGTTATTAGTATTGAAAAGTTCAGGAACTACCCTGCTGTACCAAGGGGCCAAGGGCTGACAGCATTTGAGCCCGTCTAGTCTCATGGGGAAATGGAGAGTTCCAATCTAGCTCACTTATATTGCGTTACTATGAGCCTCGATCTAGCCAATCACATCACAGCAAACGCCGGATGAAAATATTTGGACACCTTGGTGGTCAATGTTTTGCTGCTCTCTCCCTTGTATCTTTCCAATCTTTTCAAGATCTTGAAAGGATTTCCGATCAATGAGAGACCCATCAATTTCCGTATCCTGGCCTTTTGGCGGGAATCTGGTTAATACAGCCATGTACAACACTCCCTGGTCAATAATAATCTCTCAATACTTCCAAGCTTCGTATTGTTGAACCATTCAACGGAAAAGCTTTCCGTATAGACTTATCTACTCCATTGAAACTCCCAGAGATAGCACAAGTTCCCCAAGCCTCCTACCTTATCGTCGGACCATAATGCTATTCTTAGGTCAATATTCTGCATCCTGCGTGCGTGGAGATATAGATGAAGCCACAACTTTCGTCCAAAGACACTATACATCTGTAAATCTGATCCAATAGTCTAGGCTTCCCGCAGGAGATGTGGCTACTGCCTGCTGTACCACCGAGGCTATAAGCCACGAGCTCAATATCTTAAATGTAGTATTTGTGCCAAATCCGTGTTTTCCTCCCCGGTAACTCGTTGAAACTAGACTAAATTTCTATGATCCGTCGCCCTCACTCAGCTAGCTCGAACAATCTATAGACAGAAAGTTCATGGTATTCGTTTTTTCCTACAGCCGCCATAACGAATGTGTTGGCAAGTGTAATATTGACTTCCGATTTTCGAAAAATCCTGTCAACTGCCTTCGATCTTATCCGCGTATCAATTACTGATAATCTCAGGTTCCCACTCTTTCAATCTAGACTTGCAGCTCTTCAATTCTTGGTTCAAGTTGGTATTAGTTCTTTCCCGGCATCAAGCCTATAACGTTATGTCTGAAGGATTCAACTTTCAACAGCGCTCTGGTGGGCAGCTGCCAACTCTTCCAGATACACGCCCTATGATGGCAGAGCGACATCAGAGTGTCCCAGTGCCTTCAGTGTTCCGCCCAGAAAGTTTGGCGCCAGCCTCGCGACCCCATAGCATTATGAGTACAGGGTCTGCAGGAAGCCGCGATCGTCATACTCTGGTATGTCTCTCGGTTACATAGTTTGCTATATATTCTCTCCCCCAGAAAAACTTGATTTCATTCCTAGATTTCGCCTGATGATGGTTTACAGGTTGCGAAATATCTTCAAAGACGATGCAGTGCTGCAAAATGGCTTCAACCTATCGAGGAGGAGAATGGGACCATCAACGAATCGTCATGGGTGGGTGTTGCTATGCGGCTTCCGGATGGTAGCTACTACACTGAGCCACCAAACGTTGATAACAACTTTTATACCGTGATGCAATATCTTGGTTGCAAAGTTGCCTTCACAATGTCTTCAGATATTACTGCAGCATTGATGGACCAAATTGGCCCTTTCCAAACAGAAGTTCAAGTACATCCACGCGGAATCAGACTTCCAATCGTCCAAAATCTTTCAGAACTTGCATATGGAGGAGGTACTGGAGTCTCAAAGAAGTCGTACTTATGTGTATTGAGAGAAGAGAGGCTCGTTCTCATTTGGAACGAGTCAGTTGAAAGTATTATGACACACGGCGCAGATGTCGAAGGTATCCTCGTTGGCTTGGTAAGTCAAATCAACCCGAAATAATCTGGATTATACTTACGAAAAACAAAATAGATCTGGGGATCTCATATTGGCACCATGACAGCTACTTCTCCATACGCATCCATGACTCCACCTATTGGACAAACGCCAGGTCAAACTCCCGGACGAACACCATCGGCCATTAGTGAGGATCCTGAATTCAATGAAAAAATGAACATTGTTCAAGCCGCGATTGAGCGTGAAGAAAACAAAGACACAATTTTCAATCCAGATATCGAGGCCGCTGCACCACCAGAAAGACCCTTTCTATTACTGCATGCTGGTGTCATTGGATTCGCCATGACTTTGGTGGTATTCGTAGAGATGCTTTGTGCGTCGCGACTAATAACAGAATATCAATGGGATGGTGGTGTACTCCGGTTTGCACTTGTCGCTGTTATTCCATTCTTCGTTTCCTTCTCTCTGGTAAGACATTTTCAGCCACTTTGTACGTGGCGTAAGCCTCAAGTACAACGGAAAAATAAAGATAATTTTCCGAACGTAACTAACATGTTTATCATCAGTTTTTCATGATTGTCATTGCGGGAAGTCTATTTCAACTATTTGGACCCTTGACATATGTCCGAAAGAATTCTCAGTTCTATTCGGCCAAGCCACCCAAGAGGGGTCGTTACCCCGACTTAGAGCTGCCACACATCACCATTCAGATGCCAGTATATAAAGAAGGATTAAAAGGGTATGAGGCCACTAGGATCTTATCATAAAGCTGCTGACTGATAGAGATAGTGTTATTATTCCTACTGTCACTAGTATACTGGCTGCTATTCGGTACTATGAAGCACAAGGAGGCTCTGCTTCGATTTACGTTAACGAGGATGGAATGCAAGCTGTAGATCCCGAGCTATGTGAAGCCCGAAAGACATTTTATGAGTTGAATAATATCGGCTACTGCTCGCGCCCGAAGCATACCCATAGCAAAAAGAAGTGGTATCAGGGAAAGAAGATACAAGATAACCCTGAAGGATTCCAGCGAAAAGGCCAGTTCAAGAAAGCATCGAACATGAACTACTGTCTCAGTTTCTCTATTCGGGTTGAAGACGAGTTACTGAGACTTATTGCTGCAAAATCTGCAGCGGAAGATAGACCCCAAGGTGACATCACTCCAGATGAGGAAGATGTACTTTACAAACGGGCTCTAGCAACTTGTCTTGAGCAAGACGAAGGGCGGACTATGGCTGGAGGTAATGTTCGTATCGGTGATATCATTCTAATCATTGATAGCGACACTCGAGTGCCTGAAGACTGCCTTTTATTAGGCGCATTAGAAATGCATGAGAGTCCTCAAGTGGCTATTCTACAACATGCCTCCGGTGTCATGCAAGTTGCGAATAATCCTTTCGAAAACGGCAGCAAGTATTCCTGGTAGAAAGTAATTAGAGATAACACTAACAGTTGACAGTCACTTACTTTACAAACCTCATTTACATGTCTATTACCTTTGCAGTAGGAAACGGCGATTGTGCTCCATTTGTTGGCCACAATGCCTTTTTACGATGGAAAGCTGTACAGAGCGTAGCTTATGAAGAAGATGGACAACTAAAATTCTGGTCTGACGGTATGTCACTTCAATATTCCGCCTAAACTTGTAATCTCCTAACATCTTGCTAGATCACGTGTCCGAGGACTTTGACATGAGTCTACGACTTCAAATGGCCAAATTCATCGTGAGACTGGCGACTTATCACGAGGGTGGCTTCAAAGAAGGTGTATCCCTCACTGTTTATGACGAACTTGCTCGATGGGAGAAATATGCATATGGATGTAATGAATTGGTTTTCAATCCCATATATAAGTGGTGGCGAGGCCCATTCACGAAACTATTCATGAGATTCCTTTGGAGTGACATCAAGCTCACCTCTAAAATCACCATCCTAGCTTATATCGGAACTTGTGGGTATGCAAAACCATGAACGCTGTTCTAGAACTGACTTATTAACAGATTACGCAATTGCCTGTGCCATTCCACTTACCTTAGCAAACTACAT